TAAACTCAAATGGTGCATCGGTCGGAATCATTGGGATTCATGGTATCAAAACATCTTCTCCTTTATACTTTCCTTTTAGTATAGTTGCTTCTATCACGTTGTTCAGTAATTTTGTTATCGCAATATTATAACTACCCAGCGGCGTAGCGTGCCTTGTCGGGGCCCCGTATAAAATTTTTTTGGAGGCCCTTATATGGAGAGGTATTTTTCACAAAAGAAAAAAAATATTGTGAGGAGAAATATTTATTTATCACATAATTTACCCATTTTACAAATAAAAATCGAATTTTAAATATTCACTCTCCTTGCCTTTTTTTCGGCAAACTGATTTATTAAATCATTTATGGCTGATGATGATATTAGTTTTTCTAAAGTTTCTGCCTCTATGGACAATAGTGAGATGTCTGACAGCCGTTCTTGTCCCATCGGCTTTTAAGTAATTTTTATTTGCTTAATTTTGAAAAACTTCTTTCAAGCGTTGCGTTGTAACTAAAGGTCAAGAATAAAAAAGCATGCTGCCCTGGAAAACTGGATGTAAGCATTCATATTGAATTTTACCAATGAGTTCTTTAATGTGGAATAAATTTTTAATTTCAGAATTTAAGTAATACGTTTTTAGAGCCTTTAATTGGTCACAAAGATTACGTGAGATGTCGTTACTGTATTTAGCAGTCAGTTTTCCGAAGCGTTTAATATCTGCTTAGTTAAAGATAGGAGTTTCTCCGGTTGTAATATTTTCGAATATGTACTACTCAGGTTTCCCCAAAGGCTCTGGAAATCTTCTTTAGTTTGAGAAATTAATATATTCCAAACAGTAATAGTGCATACATTACCCCCTGAAATAGATTCCGGTCGGAAATTCTCTCATCTTGTATAACTAATCAAAAAACGCCTACGCCTACTGCTTTAAAAACAGCGTTACCCACTCTTTTGCTAAAGCTTTTGAACGCACGCTATATGTGGAAAAAAAGGAATTGCTTTATAGAATTTGTCATTTGTAAAATAAAATAAATTAGAAAAGTTTTTATTCTTTTCCTTACACACTTAGCCCCTGGGCCCCGTGGCACTGATACGGCAAACACGGCGGTAGTTATGCCCCGTAACTACCGCTCCAACTCTTTTAACTGCGAGTTGAGTTTAAAAAATTCCGTGTGATAGCGTTGACAACATCTTTTGGTTAGTAGCCGAATCAACCAACTGATTTATATATCCTCAATTCGCCTGGAATTTGCTTCTTGAATTTTTAAATTTAATTCATATTACATTCATGTTTTGGTGCCACAAAGCTCGTTCGCTGAACCAATCGCGTTTCCCGGTAATTTTGAGCAACATCTGAAACACCTTGAATAACTTCATCTTTTGATCGAGTTAACTGACAAAACTTGAGGATACTTAATGCAGCCAGTCAACATGTCTATAGGAATTTGCTACTACCAATGTCAGAGTTGTTTAGAGAAAATATTATCTCCAGATGGGTCATGTTTTGCAACTCAACACGCATATTCTTGCTAAAATGTAATACCTTGACATGCTTCCTACAGCCAAATTGGAGGACTTAAACATAGTTCTTCATTGATTTGCATATTTAATGGCAATTTTAGTGCTGAATGGACTGTTTGACCACCTTCAAGTAAAGTTGCTTACCCTGATAAAGCGAGTGCAAGTGTAATTTTATTTTGTATAATGAATCTCGTGGCTAATATTAATGTAAATCAAAAAAGTTTTTCCTGTAAATACCACCAGCTGTGCCCAAGAAGTAAATCCCCATGTTTCATCATTTGATACCTTATAACAGTATCAAATACACACTTTTGGAAGTTCATTCAGTAGTGGAAAAGCCTTGTTTGAATTGAATACTCATAGTGTTGAGGTCATAGTTTTCGGTGCAACCTTGGTTAAAATCATCATGTAAGCCAATATTTCAGTGTCAGGCCTAATTGTAAAAGTTTGCTTTGACATCATCACACATGTCCTCACCTAAAATCAATGCTTCATTGTAAATTTTCGTTGAATTTTGTGGTATATTTAAATTTCCTGTTCTATTCCGTGGGTATTTGATGCAGAAAAATATCATTACACATTTTATCTTTAGCCTCTAATCCACAAATTCAATTTGGTTTGATGGGAAGCAAGTAGATATGATTATAGAAAAATACTGTTCGTATTAATTTGATGAGTTTGTGATGATGTTACAGCGTCATGGAAAAAGCTTGGTCCCAATGGAACATCCTTTTCTAGTAATTGCAAAATTCAAGACAGGTTTCTATGTAGGATCCACAGAATTCACCATCGGGCAAAGTTCGTAAATGGAATTGAAAATGCATGTTAAAGCCACGTAAATTAACCAACAGTAATGTAAATAAAAACATTCACTTCCCATTGCTTGATATACTGAATAAATCTGACCAATCAGTATCGGCAGAACATCCAATCTGCAAATTCCTGGAACTGGTTTTCCTTGTTTTCGTCGTATTACTCTTTCTTTGAGGGATTGATTCCAAGTAGGGTAATGATTTATAATTTTACCAGTTAGATCGCAGAAAAGTAACTTTATCGTAATTTGTACATTTGTCTATACAAGAATACTAAAATAAGTTGGCCCCAAATACGACGTGTGGTATAACTAATAAGATATGTACATTTAAAAAATAATAAATTGTCACAACTGGCCACACACCCAATGACGGATGTATAGTATAGTTCTGGTAGTGACACATGCAAAAACATACACCAAAATGGCCTATAATTATTTTATTGCTAGAAATATTTTGACATATGCAACATAATATTCTTCTAAGTTAACCTTCATATAGGACATGAACCAAAATCTGAGATCATTTGTATTCTTAAGATTAATAAGGCAGAATTGTAACATCAGTTATTATAACAGCCTTTCTCAAATTCCTGTCAAAATGTTAACTAATATTGACATAACTGGAGACAAAACATAACTTATAATACTCTGTAATTAATCTAAATCGTAACTATGAAATAAGCTTAACAAATATTAATAAAAATTAAATAAAAAGTAAAGAAACAATAAACTTTGATGAATATATGACTTAATTCACAATGTCTAGTCAGAGTTCCTAATATAGTTGCGACAAATGTAATGGTGACTATCACCATGCACTCTACGTGGCACTTGATCCATTTTTCTTCGCCAGCCTCTACTTTCAGAATATGAGCTCACATTGTAAACCAGACAGAAATAATTTTCGGTTGAGTCGTCTTTCTTTCTTTTGTTTTACTCTTTTCATTTTCTATTTTCATTTACCTTTACTAAGAGTTTTCTACCAGTTTAATCTTTCAACCGTTTTTCTTTTTCTTTCGTGTTCTTTCCTAACCGGCCTTCTCGGGTGTGTCAGTGTAAATGGTTGACTTTTGGTTCTTCTTGGAGAAGCTTTCGGAAATGGTCGAACAATTTCTGGTGAAAAAACAGGTGGCGTGGCCGAGGTTGATGCCATTGGCTGAAGCTGGACAATTTTGGGCGAGGCTGATGATGCACCGAATGATTCGGCAACTTTAGGGGCGACAAAAACAGGCGGCGTAGCTGGGAGGTTGATGCAATATTGAATTTAGTTTGTAATTGAACCGAAGAATCTAAAGGTGGCAACATCTGATTGTTGGTCTGAATAATTTCTACAGAATCAAGATTTTGTACGTCGGTTTCAGTAGATTATGTTGATGGAATGCGGTTTTCACGTGAGGGTTTGATTCTTATCCGATTTCTTGGAATAGATTTCTGATTAAAAATGGATAAATACCCAGTTTGCTGAAACCCCGCCTCGGAATTGCTCGTTTTAGTGAGCCTGCGGCATAGCAGTCTGATATTACCTGAATGTCAAATAGACATTGTTTTCGGCTAGGTGACTCCTCATCCATCCGTCATAGACTTACAGGCCTGTCCAAAAATTTATGGGTCATATGAACCATCAGGTGACCTATTTAGGACGATATAAGATCATAAAATAATAAGATGCACACCATGCCGTCGCTCTTGTAAGCTGTCCAACTGAGTGCTGGTGAGAATTTGAAAGTACAGGCAGAGTGAGTACATTTCCGGTCATATATTTTTGTACGGCATTTTACCATCGATAGATTTTTAAAAAATAATAAGAAAGTAAGTGCAGTGCCAAAAATAGCGTGCGCCACAAAGTCGGTAAATTTTTTGATTTTCGAAAATTTCCAGGGTAAATTTTGGTCATTCGATTTTGTACGGCATCAGCTCGGTACCGTTTCAATACAGCTTCTAATCCATTAGTTCCGCAACGCCGTACAAAAAATCGCGCGACAAGGGGAAAAATTGAGGTTGCAAACCCCTTCCGTGGTCCAGGGGTGATTTGAAAAAGTACGGCATCGGTTCCAAAACACTTCTAGCACTCAAAAGTACTATTAAAAAATAATGCCGTCAAAAAATTATTGTTCATTTGAATGTATATTAATAATTATCTTAATTTCATGGTATACTTGATGTATAAAGTTGTAAAAACCATTTGACCCTGTACGGGGAACTTTTTTAACATGATAATAGAAATACAATGTGGTTATATAGTATTGCTGTTCAAAAGAAACTGTTCAAAAAAATTACAGAGAAATACAAAACTGAAATTTTTAAATTATTGCAAAAGTTTAGCCATTCATAGATTAAATGTGAAAGATAGCAATTTTCTAAGCATTTTTCCCTTTGTTTAAATAGTATTAAGGTACTAAATTAGAAAAAATAATGCCGTACATTTTAATGCAGACCATATCTTTTAGGCTGATGAAAAATGACGCTACCATTTTAAGGGTAATTTTATGGCCATCTGATACTGTACGGCATTAACATATTTTGAAGAGAATTAAATTGATAGCCATGATAAATCATTATGACGTCTAACTGAAGTGAAACGGTGTGTATATAATATCCAAGAATTGAAACTGTCAATCCCAGTATCAACAGTTTTGTATACTTTTTGGTTTAGTATATGCTTCAAACATTATTGATAAATATATATAATTGATTTGTTTCATTATAATGATGTGAATAAATAAAACAACTATTTTTTAGAAAAATTCGATATATTTGAAAATGGTAATACAAAATAAGGTTTTTATTTAAATTATTCAGTATCGGAATCAGCCGCTGAGTCGTCATCGGAATCAACGTCTTCATCGACGTCCGAATTATCTTCTATATCCATTTCTGAAACATGAATAAGTTTTTGTTAAAATCAAAGTCTTACGTACAGATTAAAGATGCAAAGATTTATTTATTTACCTATGACGTCATCAATTTCTTCGCCTGATTCCTCATCCGGTTCCGTTATGTCACTGACTTTTTCGGGGCATTCCTCGCCGTGGAACCAGTCGAAATCGTACCGACCGTCATTTAAAATCCATCCATAGCTTATTGGTAACAAGGTCGACGGTATTTGTTTGTAGGCATTACACCAAATCTGTGCTATGTAGGTGCTTCTCTTCATATGTTGTTCTAACTCCCGGAAACAAGGTGGAAACGACGTTGCTTCCAATTTCATAGTTGTCTTTTTGAAAGCTTCATTACCGCTTTTCGGCGTATAAATCCTATCGAATATGATACACCTTGCTTCGTTGACTGTTTTTCTTGCTTTTACGTTGTATAAAATGCATACATATTCTTGCAGAACATTGAAAGTTTGTTCCATGAGTAGTGGATCTGCAACAACCGTATTATGCCCCATTTCAATAAATGCGTCTTGGAACTTCTCAGATTTCTCCAATACTTTTAATGGTCTGCTTTTACCCTTCCTATAAAATGCGGGATTGAAGTCGCATCCCGTAAAAGCATGGAATGCAGCCAACGAAGAACAGAGCTTTTCGCCCAAGTCTCTGTACACAGCACAAACGTCAATGTTTTTCACGTGGTTACCGGTTCCGAGTTGCATCCATATTTTGCGATCGACATTGAACTGATTCTCGCCCACATTTACTAGGATTTGTTTCATATTAGCTAATAATATTACGAGAATATCTGTATCGGAACACTTGATCAAAATGTTCGTACTTGGCCCAACAGCGCAAACATGATACACTATTTTTGTATCAGCTTCTTCATGAGCTGCAGGTATACTTTTCAGATACTTCTTTAACGACAGATTCTGCCGATTTTCTGTAAGAATGACACAGCCGATAATTTAGAAACACTTTCTGTGTAGGCTTAATCAACGTAGCTTTGTCTTGAGTCGACCAATCATTGACGAGAAACTGGACAAATGCTTGCTTGAATTTTATGTTCTTTAATTCGGCTATAAAATTTGCCGGACGTTTCGTTTGAGGTCCATTAATAACGAAATCATCATTTCTTAAATTATCTCGTATAGAATGCTCGTAATCTTTTATGCTTGGTGTTGGGTAAGTATCAAAGATCACGTGGATTTCCGTAGCCACGTGATTTGTTAGATTACGGAGCAAATTATAACTTATAGCGCCAAAGGTAGAAGGTATGTCTCGAAGAGTATAGAGATAAAAAAATCCATCAATAATCACGACATCCAATTCCCTTAGGAATACTCTCTACAATTTTTTCTCTATCTATCAAAGGTTTTACCAGCTTCGATTTATCTGTTTTATTGATGGTTCCATCCATATGACACAACGATAATGGAGCAGGGGTCAGAGGGTACTCCAGAACCTTTTCAATTTCAACATTTTGTTGTAGAGATATACCTAACAATCTTCCAAATAAATCCCTTTGTAGTTTAACCTCATTCACCTTTCCACCTTGACGTTTTACTATTTTCTTGGCTTTGAAAGTGTGAATAACATTTCTCTGGATAGCTTGTTCAAAACGATGTGGATTTGATGCACATTGTTCTAAAAATGTTTTCCTCTGCTCTTCTCCAGTTTCCACGACATTCATTAGAAATTCATGGACTTCATGACTTGCAGACTGTCCATTACTAATATTGTATAACAAGTTTTCTTTTAATGAAGACGAAAATGGATTCAAACGATTGTTAATACTATCTTCAAACTGTTGTATTTGTAGTTGACTTTTTTCTATTTTGTTTTTCCTCAAATCATTAGTAACCTCTTCTCGTTTTTTCATTAGCACTTCGGCGAGTACGTGAGAGATAATCTCCGTTCGTAGAGCATGGCTTTTGCTCCACCTTTGCCGAGCAGATATTGAGTTTTTCATACATGCAATGCCAGTTGATCGTTTAGCAGCATCAGCGTTGATCGTACTCTCAACAGTAAAGTCTACTTCTCGCTTGGAAAAAGGCTTCTTAGTTCTTTTTATCCCTACTACGACATTTAATCCAGGATGCGATTGTTCCACATTTTCCAAGTTGCAATGGTATAAAGTGAGGTACCTAGCATAGTTTTGATGATTGAAGACAAAAAACAGATTGGCAATGAGAGTGCAGAGTATATTTGTACAAATCAATATCACCCGTGCAGCTACTTCTGGTCAAAAGAAAGTAGTTGTTAACCATTTCCAACATAAGTAAGATAGAATTTCGGTGTACGAATCGTATTGATCACCATTTAACGTTTTTCTACGGAAGTTACTAAGTATTTTATATAATATATTTATAAAATCAACATTATCTACTGTTGGGTATATGTAACTAATTTTCCATTAATGTCTTCACCTTCTTCCTATTTTGAAAAGCTTTCAAGAAGTCTAAACACTCATCGCTTACTATCACATTTTCTTTCTCCGTGAAAAATTTGAAATGCATTATTTCAATAGCAACAGACATAAGAGGATGTAAGCGTTTACATCTGTTGAAGTGCTTCCCCATAAGAAATGAGTTTACAGATCCGCTTGCCAATAAACCAGAATCAATTAAAATTTCCGATAAACCACAATTTTCAATGTATTTACCAATCGCTTTGAACTGCGACATTGCTATGTGGAAAGGTCCCAAGTGAACAAAAATGCGTTTCAATGTTGAGTCCTTATTTCTTCTCAGCTCAGAATTTTGTATTTTCAACGATTTACTAGCTATGGCCAAATCATAATGTACCTGCGCGTACTGTTGTCCGCATTCTTCAGCACCTTTGATACTCCGCATCATAGTTTCATGTACCACATAATCTTTGGTAGGTGATTCATTGATAGGGGTTAAATAAAATACATCTTGAATAATACTTTTGTCATTGGCAATGAGAGCGTTAAATCCCACCCACATTGGTGTAGATATATTCAAAGCATGGCTTATCATCCATACTCTATCTAACCTTTTAGCTTCTTCCAAATTAGTAGGTGCTTTATCGTTTGCCGGCAATTGGAGAGTGCCTTCAAATTTTGGAGTTTGTGTAAGTGGTTGAATAACGAGAGTATCGGCTTCGTAGTGTCTGCGGAATCGTTTTCTACGAGGCTGGTTACTTCCAATACCATCGTTACTTCCCTCAGAAGATATGTCAACTTGTGGAGCATGATCTTGAAACGAAATTCCCACTGTATCGTGCATAGTGTCTTTACCATCACATGTTTCTACATATCGATCAAAATTATCGAAAGCAAAACCACTATTGAGAGATGGTTGCAATACCATACCAGCAGGGCATACCTTACCTGTTTCAGATATAGCATAGGTTGCTTCTGTCTCCAATTCTAATACTTTCGAGTACGAAATGCAATGTCCGTAGGAATGTAAGAGGTGTAGAAGCTTTTTACTACTACTCAAACTTTTGACTGTTATTCCAAGAGTTATATGTTTGGATGTCTTAACTCTTCCTCTGTGAATAGCATAAATAACATCAGAAGCGAAAGACTTGGCTAAGACCAACTTTTTCGGGTCTTTTATTCTATCCACATCACCTCCAGTTAACAAAAGAGTGTAAAAACGTAATAGAGCATACGGAATTTCACATTCACCTTTGATGAGTTTGGGCGCAGTCACATTATCACTGATTGGATTTTTTTCAACTCCTAGAACAATCTTGCGCAGGAATAATGCTGAAGTATTAATGGTGTTTTCTTCATTCACGTACGTCATATCAATATTTTCTAGAGTTGCACTGGCAGAGACAACGTGTTTGCACCCATGATTGTAAATAATGATGACAGCGTTCTCGAAATTTTCTAAAATTTCACTTTGTATATTGGAGGTGTCAAAACACTTAGGTAACTTCTCATTATCATACTCTTCCAATAAAAATTGTCTGAATAAATTGAGCAAGAAGGAATACTGGAAAATGCGCAAATTATCGACAATTTCTTTCTGAATAAATGTAAACAGTTTCTTACGAGCTCGCTCGTGTTTTTGTCTCCTCAAGTGCCAATCAGTATTTTTTTTTTTGCCTACAGTTATTTAAATATTGAGTTTTACAAACCCTATGATAAGGTATGGGTACTGACATCTCCTGACATTGGTCAATCCTTTGTAAAATCGCTAAATCATATTTTTGAGTAGCTAAATCTGCAATAATATGAAATGATTCGTAATTGTTGTTCTCTTTAGCAAAGCTACATGTCATGAGCTGGCGGTTATGTCGTTTGCGTACTTGCGCACAAAATACACAAGCAGTTGGACCATGTTCAGAAGATACGTGCTCTTCAGGTTCTTCGTCATTTCCGCTGAAAAAAATTATTATTCTGGTTATTCATAAACAGATTGTCACAATACATGTAATTTTAGATAATAGAACAACAAAAAAAATTTTTCAAATATAATCAATAAAAAAAAAAATGTACAGTCATGAGGACTGCCGACAGAAGTGAAAACCTAAAACTATTTAACTTTGTGCAACAATTTTATTTTTTTTCATATAGTTTATTTAGATATATAATTATTTTATTTTTTTCTATCTTCATTTTATATTTATGAATCAAATAAAAAAATAAAAAATAATTTAAAACATTTCAATTAACAAAAAAACATAAAATTTCTAATTCAAAAATTAAATTAAAATTAAAAATTATTTTAGTTAATTAATTTGAAAATAAATAAATAAATTTGAATTGATAAAATTTGATTCTTTATTTAAATAAACTATAATACTATAATACTATAAACGTCGTAACAGAACGTCGCTCCGTAAGCGATATATATGTAAATTATATTTATTTAATATTTTTATCACTTTTTATCAATATGAACTTCTCTCAGATTTTAAATGGTACAGAATTTTATAAATGCTATTGTATGGCGGTTTAACAAACTTCAACAGTAAAAAATATCGTCATGATTCTTCCACCTTACATTTCGTTATATGGATTTTCTTACATTTCACATGAATTTTTCCCTTGAATTTTTTTCCTGTATAAACCTTTGGACCAAATGAAAGCCGTAATGTATACAAAATATTATCTGTTACAAAATACTTTCGAAATAAATTAATGAAGAGCCAATCAAATACCCCTGGACTTGGAAAGAGGGGCTGGTAAATCTCAATTTTCCCCTTTACGTATGATTTTTTGTAATGGCTAGTGGAATAATGGATTAGAAGGTTGTATTGAAAACAGTACGAAAACTGATGCCGTACAAAATCAGAATTTCCACCCAAATTTATTCTGAAATTTTCGAAAATCAAAAATACCGACTTTGTGGCACTATTTTTTACGGTAATTGCGCGCTTTTCTGGCGGTTTTTAAAGATCTATCCAATCATCGTTTTGGCATGTCTCAAAAAAAAAACTGGTTAATGTAGTAGATGGTGGCTGAGCAGCTCTTTGTACTATGTTTTGTGCTGTAAAAAACACCTAAATGAACAACCGTAGGGTATTTCTCATGAATTGAAAAAGAAAATATTCGCCAAACTGCTTCATGACTACTAACATAACGGCCCATTTGGTAATGGGTAACTTCCTCACTGGAATTCTCTGCACCAATTCCTATCACAGCTATATCAATCCCTTTGGTTACATATTTGCAAATGTATTTAATAGATTTTACTGAATGGCAAGATTCAACGTTGATGTGCGCTTCGAAGATCTTTGATAGAATAAGTGAGTATGGAACAATCCGACGATTATCTACTTCAATATCTTGTTGATTTAATTTGACAATTGTTGATCTTCCATTGTCTGCTGTCGATCGGCGACGATACAGTGGATAACCATCATTACCAGTAATTGTTTCCGATATTATTGTCCGTGGATATTGCTTTGAACATTTACCATCCACCATACACGGTGAATTTGGATTAAGAGTTTCACAGGGACCATGTATCATGTTTTTGGTAACTATATCATGCAAAGATTTTAACTGATATCACTGCATCAACTTCATTTGGCCTTATTTTTTCCACCAACGAAATCAAAATGTGTTCATGTGGCAATCATCGTATCTGCGACTTCACAGAATACAGCAGCGTGTCTCACCAAACACTTTATGTTTTACAATGAAATACATTAAAGATTTCAACCTTTGTCTAAAGACTCTGGTTGTAATATCATGACGATCAATGGGTGATTGCCCAGGGAATAACTCTTGCTTGATTTCTGTCCAGCGGGGATTGCATGTGAATGTGATGAACAAATCAGCTGTACCATAATGACGAACACGCTTCCGATGTATGTTGCTGGAAGAATAGTCATCCGACCAACATTCTGGGCATTTCCATCAGTATTAATCGCATCTCGAAGGTGAATGTACTCTACGGATCGGAGTTTGCTCTGATTCAACCGGATGAATGTTAATCTCTCCCGTGATCTCTCCGTTTCAATTTTTTACATACATGTCAACAACATATTTGTGATATAATCGCCGACATTTCAATATGTGATTTTCTTCATTTTTGCGAATCATTTGGCGGTATGAATAAAAGTTCATTGAACTAACCTTTTTGTTAGTTTCCAAACCTGTAAATAGATTTTTGTTTTAAGAACAATAAAATATAAAATTAAAATTCATAATATAGTGACTGAGATATTATCTCCACAGCTACCTAAACTAATATTTCAATTACCTGTAAAGGGATCAATCATCTTGATTGAGAAATCATAGCCATCTTCACCTTGCCAAAATATAATAGGATATTGCAGTGCATCATATGAGCGGTGTGTTTCCTTTATACGTCGTAATTGATCATTCCGACGATGTAAAACAATATCACGGGATTCCAAGTTTTCTCCAACTACAATAGCAACTTCATCAATAGTTGGTGCATTGAAACGTTTTGCATGTTGGCCCGCAGGTGTTTTATCAGCTCTGATTACAATTCTGTGATTATTAGATGGCATCAAAGCCAGTGCAGTTTTAAACAAAATAATCAATTGATTGCGTTCATGAAATGAAGTTATGTGAGCAACGCAGATCAATTTCTTCTGATGAATTGTCCATGAAATAAATTTGCAGGAATTTGTAGTTGCTATCTGATACTGATAACAGTGAACCTGCTCTATGATATATTTGGCCTTGTATCTGTAAATTGTCAATTGACACATCGTAACTGAAAGCAGCTCCATTCAAATTTGCGCGATTATTAGTTGAATCTCGCGTTCGCGCTTCACGCGTTTGTGATATCCGAAATCTTACACGTTCATTTGCTCGTCACGTTGTTGAGCTGTGTAATTAGAGCGGTAATTAGTTTGTTTTGCAGCATTTCGGGTTCTTCTAACAAACTTACCTCTTTTTATAGGAGGCATATCGTATATAAATTGTACCACATGCAATAATTATTGATAATACGTTTTTAAATACTTTTCACAAAACGAAATGAAACAATCAAACAAAAATGAACCGAAGAAAGCTATGGAATTTGTTTTGTTTGTCAGTTGACAAAAGAAAACTCGTGTTGGGGCGATACCTGCGTAGCTTGTCCTCATGGTTCTGAAGACGGTTGCCCGATTTTTGTTTGCAATGCTCAAGCGACTCTGTACGCTCCAAGGCAAAATAGTAATGTGGTGGATGAGGTATGCAGTGAACAAAACTCTTGCTGATTTTACGATTTATTTACCGTGTAACTTGCACAAAAGCTTAAGAGCGAATGAATTACAAAACTGAAGCAAATGAAGGTCTTGGGGATATTCCTGCTTACGTTGCAACAATGATGCAGCTGCAGTCTGGAGTGAACTTAAAGAACAAAGCATATATGTAATTGATTTGCCAAATGTGTATGATAACACTTCGACGTGTAATCGATACGTTTGTCGGATTTGGCCCGAACAACTCGGTAGAAAACGCAATTTGTTTCTGTTGGAAAAAAGAAAACTTGGCTTTTCCCCATTTTCCAAGCAATTATTCAAAGTGTTCTCGCCGTTAAAACCACTCTTTGACTTTAACGAACATTTAAAAAAGGAATTGGCCAAATTGATCAAGGCGTTGCTGAGAAAAGCGGTTACCAACACTTTTTGCGATTAATTTTTATAGTATAGAAGATATATACATTGTAGGTGTGAATTGCTGTTACAATTCTATATTTTTTTATCTAAACCAACAATTGATTTTTTGATTTTGGGGGCATTTGAGTTTATCAATATTGGTCAATGAAATTGATTATTCTGTTATTATAATGAGTAACTAATTTGAGTCTATTTGCATGTATAGCTAAGGGATTATGGGGGAATTGCGAACGCTGAAGGAAATAACGCTCAACATTCGTACTATCAGTAATAATCAGCCTGACTTTTGTTGCGTGCTGCCAAGCGGGATGATGTTGCTGGACCTTTGGAGATCACCACTTGGTTGCACGGCAATAATTTGTTTTTATTATAACTCAATTTAGGATGATATTTATCAATTACTAGCTGACCCGGCAAACTTTGTTCCGCCTCGCTATGAGTCATACTAACACGGCGCTTTTTACGTGCAATTTTTTGTTCTTCTCCAGTCCTTTCATTCGCTCTTCTTCGCGAACTTCATTAGCTCTATACCATATTTCCGCCCAACGACTGTACGATATTTCCTATAATTTTTTTTTAATAATTATTATAAAATTATAGTAAGTAAACACACATACCTTTATCAATAACGGTATCAAACTCAACGATATTTCGCCTATGTAGTTTTTATATGTTTCACCATTTGAAACTATTTTATTAGCTAACGCGGTTAATGAAAAGGTTTCTAACCGGAACATTTTTCAAGTGTGCACAACAGCGGCGTAGCGTGCCTTGTCGGGGCCCCGTAGAAAAATTTTTTTGGAGGCCCTTATATGGAGGTAAAGGTTCCTTACACACTTACGGGGCCCCCGTGGCCCTGGGGCCCCGTATAATTGATACGGCAAATACTACGCCCCTGGTGCACAATTAACGTTTTGTTGTAACACTGATTTGGGTTGCGGCTTCCTTTAAAAATGTAACGTTTCACGCACGTCTATGCTTAGGGGACGCTACGAATCGGCTGTTTTCATGTGATGGCTTGACCAGGCGAAATGGGTTTCATTTTATATATATATATATATATAGATTATAGTAAGTAAACACACATACCCTTATCAATACAATACGGAATTAATCTCAAATCTGTATTTCGCCTATATAATTTGTATACTTTTCACCATTTGAAACAATTTAGTTGCTAACGAGGTTAACGAAAGGGTTTCTAGGCGGAACATTTTGCGTGCACAATTAAAAGTTTTGTTCTAACACTGATTTGGATTGCGGTTTCCTTTAAAAATGTAACGTTTCACGCACGTCTATGCTTAGGGGGACGCTACGAATCGCACGTCTATGCCTAGGGGGACGCTACGAATCGCACGTCTATGCCTAGGGGGAAGCTACGAATTGCACAGAGGGGAGACGGAGATAAAAAAACATTATATTTGTGTGCCTCTTTTTCCCGTAGGCTAAAACCATATGCTTTAATATGTTTGTTTCCTTTACACTGATTTGGGTTGCGGTTTCCTTTTAAAAATGTAACGTTTCACGCGCACGTCTATGCTTAGGGGACGCTACGAATTGCAATGTCTATGCTTAGGGAGAAGCTACGAATTGCACGAAGGTGAGACGGGAGATAAAAACATTATATTTGTAGTGTGCTCTCTTTTTTCCCGTAGGCTAAACCATATAAGCGTAATATGTTTGTTTCTTTAGTGTCGTTTAGGGTTCTCTAAAAGGAGTTTTCTTTACTTCAGAAAGTATCCTAGTACCTTCTCTCCAAACAAAAAACATCAACCGATCAACTTCAATCCCACACGTATACACACATACACACGTCTATGTGTGACGGGGATAATAGAAAACTTTGTATTTACGATATCACAAATAATTAGCAATAAATTAAAATTGCGACTATAATTTGAGATTTAAACTATCCTATCTTTCAAGTTGGATCGAACTGCACATGGTGTGCGAATTTTATTATAATCGGTTAAGTGATTTAGAGTCCAATTGAAGACAAACATTGTGACACGAGATTTATATATATTAAGACTAGCTGACCCGGCAAACTTTGTTCCGCCTCGCTTTGCTCTTGTGATTGAGAAGCACGAAGTCCAGTCATACTAACACGGTGCTTTTCACGTGCAATTTTTTGTTCTTCTACAGTCCTTTCATTCGCAATCCTTCGAATCCTAGTTGCATTACGGTTTTGTCGGATAAGATTTGATCGTTTTGGTCGCTGCATGTTGAGTGGGGAAGGTACGCATCGCACAGTTAGAAGAGACGGAGAAAACTCGTTTAGTATCTTCCAAAGAAGTTTTCACCTCAAAAAGTATTAAAAAAGTATCCTACACTTACTAAGTCTCATTCAAACAAACACTTCAACCGGACAACTTCAACCAACACGTACAAACACACGCACGTCTATGTTTAGGGGGAAGTTACGAATCGCACAAAGATGAGAGGGAGATAATAGAAAACATTAAATTTGTGTGCTCTTTTTCTCCCGTAGGCTAAACCATATAAGCGAATATGTTTGTTTCCTTTTAGTGTCGTTTAGTGTTCTCTAAAGGAGTTTTCACTTCAAAAAGTATCCTAGTAACCTTCTCCAAACAAAAACATTAACCGGTCAACTTCAACACACACGTACACACATACACACGTCTATGCTTAGGGGGGAAGCTACGGAGCATCGCACAAAGAGGAGACGGGGATAATAGAAAACTTTGTATTTGCGATCTCTTATTCTCCCGCAAGATAATCCATATATGCAAATATGTTTGTCTCTTTTTAGTGTCGTTTAGTGCCCTTTTAGTGCCGTTCTTCAGTTATAAAGGAGTTAACCAACACGACTTTCTTTTATATATATAGATATATATATATATATAGAATATGTGTGTAGGGGTGGCGCGGTTGCCATGGAAAAACAAAAGAAACAAACAAACAATACAAAAGCAACGGATATCATGCCAGCGCCTACTATAGCATAAAACTTAGAAAATATCGAATTCAACTATTACTAAACATAACTTCAACACTTTCCCTTGTTTATCTTAGTTGAATTTACAAGTCCTATCTTCTCCAAAAGAATCTTCAGGGGTGTTCTCTGTAAAGGCTTGGTCATGATGTCCGCCAATTG